GCAAAATGCGGCGAAAAGTCCTACATGACGGTAATAATGTGATTTAAGGCGTTTACATGTCTATTCTGCACTTCAGTAATGCGACTAAAATAGGAATACTTCACATGTGTTAATTCGATTTCTGTTTACTTCGAATATGTCTTTAGCCGGATTAAGGTAATCAAAAATCTCTGTTTACATGGTAGATTCTTAATCAGAGTATTGTCTTAATCATATTATAATCGGAGTATTGTTGTCCATGTAAACGTACTCCGTGCTACATGTCAGCACGCTGCCCACAGGGCTATCGGTGTCGACAGCTCATGTAAATTTAGATAATTTGTTAAAGTGTTTTTAAAAATGTAATATTTCATATGCAAACTAATGTTGTAGTTGGGTAAAAAAAAAAGGTACCACAGATCCCCCCAAACACAGCATAAACGTAGTTGAGAAGTAAAATAAAAAAGTGATATCATTTGTATTATTAAAAATGCAATAATACATTATGTAATAATTGCCTAGTTAACTTTCACTCGCCGCTGTTTTCCATGTCTGACAGCGTCTGATTGTTGGATCAAGTTAAAACCGTATCTACAGGAGCATACCGTTTTTTTTTTTTTTTTTTGATTCCTAGATTTACTTTCATAATGTGACTGTTGAGCTCTATTGAGGATCACAGAAAGTGTCTTTATTTTTTCCTCAGGTCCACATAGATCTGCAACCAGTGTCATTTTGCATGGCTTAGCAACTTCACCCCACTGGAAAAAAACAAATGAGTGAACTACGGCATAATTTAAACACCGTAATCAATTTACTGTAGTTGTGTAAATTGTGATATTTAAAAATTTCACAAGATTCTGTACATTATCAACCCTTTAACAGTAATGCACTCGAATCCTGCTTTATTGTCATTGTTTCATGTGTGGTGATTTTTTTTTTTTATTATTACTTTGTTGATAAGTGTAAACTCATAATGCTATATTTATTTACTGTATTTTTTGTGATCAAGGCAAGTGTAAAATAAACTCAGACATTCTTTATTGTCACTATTTGTTGTCACTCTTCTGTGAGGGGATTGATTTGTTGATAACAAATTGAGTTTAACAATACAACAATTGTTTTAAAGCAATTTCACAGTAATAAACAGAAAAATAGCAGTGTTAATGTTGCTTCTGTAGCTCTACAGAAGACAATCATGTCATTATTCAACAATTTAGTTCAATGTTGATTCAATGTAGGTCAAGAACTGTGATAATGTTGCAGAGTCCATCAATTATAAAACCAATTCAATTTAGCTATAAAGCAGATCTGCCAACAATGGTGCCATTATTGATCTCAATTTAGCTCAACGTTGATTCATTTTACATGACAACAATGTACTAAAAAAGGAAATTTATTTTTTTGCACTTTTGAAAAGTTTCACATTCAGACGACGACATTGTCAAAACGATCCCCGTTCACACTGATTCTTAAAAACAACTAAAAACTGTATTATGCATGCCAGGCCAGCAGTTGGAGATGTCACTTTGTAAAGAAACACTGCACACCTGCACACATACCTATAGACTGAAAACGTAATACGCATGCACCGTTTTCACAAATTCACGTTTCTGTAGTTTACAAAATCGGAGACGATGACCATATTATTTCAGAAACTTGCAGTTTAAAACCCATTTTCAAAAGTCTGTGCTTTCAGGCCCCCAAAATGCCAATGTGTAAATGGATGGCCAAATGTTTGAAAATGGTGTCATGTAAGCGCCTCCTTAAACTGACACACTTGTGGAGGAACCTTGTTTTTACTGCATTCTGTTGGCACAAGAAGTTAAGCATCTGCTCGCCACCCTGATGTGTGACTGGTGTGTGACTTTGACAAAAAACTTAGAGACCAATGTGTGCTAAAAGCATAGATTGTTCTCTTCTGGCAAGGATAGAGGACCCCTTGGAGTATTGACTTCTGGAGAAAGACTTGTAAAAATGGCTGGAGTACATGTCGTGTCTAAGTCAGTATTCCTTTCACACTACACAACTTTCTAGTATCATGAAGCTGCTGTGGATTGCACATTACACAACGGACCGGCGACTGGGGTCACACGTTACATAATATTTCACTAGGAATAATCTCCGACAACTCTGCCTCATGTACAAATTGCATGCACAAGAAATGAAACACAACATAACATGTCTCCTCTGCCTGAGATTTCCCTTGCCCTGTATCGTGCTCTCTCATTGGCTGTAGGTCATCACCAATGTAATTTCTAGTTAAAACACATTTCACATTGCAAACACATTTCATACTCTCGGCATGACAAAAACCGTGTACTGAGTAGATACTACATTTGAATTTGAACTTACTATGCGATCATTAAAAAAGTATAATAATGATATATAGTATGAATGAATTTTGGATTTATTATATCTGCCATGCTCTTAATGTCACGTTACCTACCAGTCTTTGTGTCGCTTCACTCCCATTCATAAATCCTCTCCTGTGACCTCAGGGGATAGTAAACTGTCCATCAAATTAGTATTTCATACTTCCAACTGAAGTAGTAGGTCATCCAATTACTTTTTGCTTACTGTTTTTGCAATACTATCAATTTAGATATACTGCTCTTTTGGCATACTGTTTTTCACATACTCTATATTAGGGAAGTATTCGATTTCGGACAGCATCCGGATGTTTAGCCTCCTAAATGTTCCTATGGAATTTGTGATGCATTAGAGCTTCTCTCAGATCGCGTCTTTGATTCGCTTCATGTGATTGTCAGTCACATGGACAAGCACCAATTTGCCTCAGATTTCGGGCTTTTGTCGATGATCTCCTGTCAGCAAATGAAAATTGTGCAGTGTATATCCAGCATAAGCTAAGTGCAGTGCTTGTTTGCGTGTTTCACTTCTGTTGTGGAAAATCTAGGCACATTGACCCATCCTAAGCATTAAACCCAAGGGTACCCGCTTGACTGCTCTCCTCTCCATTGCGTGATAAACAGCAAGCTCTTTTGGGATTTTCTGTGTAAACTCTTAACACGTACCTTTCAGCTACTTGGATTTGGGAAGCCTGAAGACATGGAGAGAATGAACACATAATGGTGTGGTTAGAAGCAGCCATGCAATGTGAGGAAGTGGCGGCGGTCTGGCCCAACCACAGTCGCTGTACTTGAGATCCGGCTCTGCCTCGCAGCGGATGGTGCGGAGACGCTAGTGATTTTTACTGGCCTTGACTTACTGGTCTGTTTACATGATGGACTTGGGGTGGGCAACTCTGGGAAGATGGGTGTCTCTATTGATGGTAAATCAATCAGTTTGAGCCTCCGTTATGGGAAAAGGTTGATGAGGGCATGGACTTTGATTCTGTAGTGGTTTTGCTCGGTCCCAGTGTACAGTTTGGGTAGAATGATTATGAAGTTGAGTACTATTGGTTATAAATTTGCGCTTGTTGAGTTGCTTTTTCTACATAGGTTAAAAGCATGTCAAAAATAATCTTGGATATCACTGTCAACTAATTTCGTTAATGCGATCCTTTTCTTTGAAGACAACCACATGACTTTCCATGCATTTATATGGCATATGGTGGAAGATATATGGGACTATAATTATCACAAGCATGCAACAGACAGGAATGACACCTCAATTCATGAAGATTGTTGTGGAGAGCTGTGCTAAAAAAAACATTCAGAATACCCTGGCATTGTGGCGGTGCGATTTTCTTCAGAAAATGTAAAAATCTATTAAGGCCCACTAAAAACTGATCTCCAAAGTCTGAGACATTTATTTTTGTCTGTGGCTCTAACTCATGCAAATATACATACACAGCTTGCACATGAGAACAGCCCAATTAGAACATGTCTGAATGTGGAACCTGACTCATGTGTTGGCTGCTCCAGGCTTGCTGCAGGTCTTTCTTCCTCTCACTCTGGTTTGCTGTGAGAGGTTTGGGTTACAGGAAATCAGCCTTTTTGTTTTATGTTGGACCTCAATAAGGACCCCAGCCCGGGGTCGTCACATGTGGTTGCCGCAAGCCCGCCCGCCGCCGCTCACTCTAGGCCTCCGGCCTCCGCTCACTCTAGCCCGCTGTGTGTGATGCTGACTCACAGACTGTAAGTACGTTTTTATATTTAAAGAATTTGCCACTGACTAATTAAAAATATACAAATTTTCAGACAATGCAATTAAGATGTTTTGGCAAACATTGGCTTGTTGGGGTAATATTGCTAGTCAAGTGAAAACTAATCTCATTTGAATTTGCATAACAGCACTAATTTTATAGTTTATAGTATAGTTTATAGTAAAATAGTAAAAATAATAATAGAAACAATAATAAAAAACAAATTACATTAATTATACTTTGATTTCCTTCAATAGTTAATTTAATATTTTATTTATTTATTGTTAGTCATTTGTTTTACACAATTATAAGTGGATCCTTCCTCATGAGAGAAACAAAATTCCATGTCAATGCAATCTTTAAAAAGCCTTTATTTGCAGAGCTACATTGGAAATTTTACTTTTAAAAATATATTGGCCCAAACAGGCCTTCAGCAGAGTTTTTGTCATTAGTTTTATTTCCATATTCAGTAATTGAGCAACAATTATTTAACAATAACAATTGTTGGTTTATGTACAAATGCATCGGGCACATCTTTGGCCATTGCATCTCATCTCACGCCATGAACCATGAACTTACACAGATGTTGGTAAAATTCCATTGTAATGCAGTTTTATCATGTTTTGATTTGTCCACAAGGGTTTGTCACCCACATTCCTAACAGCTGCTCTGAACTCCGTTTGTTAACCTAAATTAAACCAACATCAAGATACTTGATAAAGAATTTCTTCAATACAATCAGTCACCAATATGTTGTATTAGCTTTCATATGTACTTCACAACATGCCAATACAAACCATGGCATGTGACATAAAGGCAACAAAGACTGATTTAAACTGATCAGACTACAGCATTTTAGTACTTCAGTGGGAAGTAATACCTTGCAAAGATCCCCGTCTCAGCATGAATGCCCTCAGTGTGACTGTAATGATCATGCCTTAACACTGAAGATCCATGCAGAGATGAATCCGATATCATCAGCCTCCTGCAAATATTACTGTTATTATTCCTTTGGTCATGAATAGGTCTTTTTTGTTTATTTAGAGATACTGTATACTTGCTCCACTTCATCTTAGCTGATCTACACACAGGCCAAGACTAACAATCAGTAATGTTCACCTCTATGCATTCACTCCATCAGACTGCTTGAAAATGCCGCTCATCACTAATATTTAAAATCAGATACAGTATACAGAAGATCATAATTTGTTTAGTTAAAACAGTGTAGGAGTTCCTTACTTGGGTCATGCATTAAAAAACATGATACATAAGGAGTTTAATTCTCTTTATTATCACACCATGCATATAAAATAATGTAGCTTTCTAGCAGTCCTCCACTGCTCTGAAGGTGTCAACACTGACCTTAAATAAAAAAAAATTTATTTCACTAAATTAAGAGCAAATACATACTTTGTAGGTCCAGCAGACTTCAATATGAGATGTCATTACCATTTATTTTTATACCAATGCATTGACCTATCATACAATACGCACTGAATGTCTTCACAATGAAAACAAATTTCCAACTTATTCATGGCTCTTGTGAAATACTCACTCATTCTCTGCGTGACTTATGATCCATTTCTGCCAGAACACCTCCTATGACCATTCACTGAGTACTGACAAAGCACCTTCCCAGAAATATATTTTAAAAGTGGAAGCAATCAATCTAGGAAAGTCCCAGTTGCCTCAAAATGCTTTTCCCTCAATATCCATCCATCTTAGAGTAGCCAAGTTTTTTATTAGCCATAATATTACACACAGTTTTAAGAGTTATTTGACTTTAGTTCATTCGGAAAGTTACTTATAATTAGGTGGAATTACTTGAGTGTCATTCTTAATGTTATGAATTTGTATTACAAATAAAAGGCAGGCAATACAACAACACCCATAGACCCCATAGACAAGACAGAGCAGGTCACTTTAGATATGAAACAAAGTCTCAACTTTCAAATTTTGTCATTTTTTAAGAAATTTAAATGATAAATACCATTTTGTGTCTCTCTAATGTGTTGTGACAGATCACTGTAGCACCTCAGTTCAAGCGGCATGTGAACCGATTATCTGTTCCTCTTTACTAGTTATAGTACAAAATAAACAGGATCATAAGCTATCGTATTTCAACTGCCGAAAGACGTCAATACACACCATTTTAAAGTTGAAGTCCATCGACGGTAATCTTTTTTGGTTTGTGTGTCAGACAAAAATGGCAAATTCAGCGTTATGATTGGTCAGATTGCCCGTCAATCAAACTCCCTACGAAGGGACGATTCAGTGCTATGATGTAAAGTGTATATAAAATTGAATTAATTGATCTGTATAAAATCAATTTCAGACTACTTAATTTGGTTCCTTAAAATAACTTAATTTGATGATGTGGAAGTCACATGAAGAAATTATAATTGTGTTTACATTAGTGCTGTCAAATGATTAATCGCGATTAATCGCACCCAAAATAAAAGTTTTTGTTTACATAATAAATGTGTGTACTGTGTATATATATGATGTATATATAAAGACACACATAAAGACACACACATACAGCATATATTTTGAAAATATTTACATGTATTTACATGTTTATTTTTAGCAACGTCATATGACCCCTTTAAATACTTTTTTCAGTGCAGATTTGTAACTCCTCCCACACCATTTCTGTTATCGCCATGAATGACACCTCAAATACAGCAGACATGGGCTATTACTTTTGTAACAGAAAAAAAAAATCAAACTTGAAACTGATTGATTTTCGCCTGCTGGGTGGTAAAAAGTGAAAAAATTCCATAGACTTATACATCCATTTTTGATTTTTGATTTTATGAGAGGGCCCCCCAGAAACCCAGATCCTGCTTGTTTTTAGTGGCCCTGGCTGCGAATGGAAACACTTAGCTCCCACAATAAATTATTCAGCCTCAGTGATGCCATAGCTCTCCACCTCTGCCGGGCCACAGGGTGAGTCATAAAGGAGCGTTCAGGAGTATGTGGCAATATACTTTTAATTTAATGTATACTTGCTAGTGTAGGCCAGGTAATCTTAGAAAATGTAACTTTGAACATATCTCAGAAATAGTTAAAGTACATAGGCCAAGTACGTATATGCTTTGTTTTTTGTTTGTTTTTGTTTTTTCTTCCAAATTTCTTGGACAAAAAAATCATATCTTGGATAAATTCATGAGTTTTTGTGGCATTTCAGAACCAACACTATTTTTATGCCAGACTAGCTTGCTTATGATTAAGTTTCATGGGCTGCAATTGTCAAAATTAGGCTGACTGTATTGAGATTTTATTCGTTTTATTTTCACAATTTGATTTTTAAAACACTGCATCATGAGCTTTGAAACTTTAGAATCAGTGCTTCGGACCACGTATCAAACGCGTAGTTCCTGTTTTGCCTTTGCATAGTTACCCTTGAGTGCTGTCAAAATGTTATAATTTCCCTCACCTATTCTTAGTTATTCTCTTCGTTCATTGTTGGGTGTTTTCTTTTGTGGATGTTTTGTGCTTGTTGTTTCAGTTCTGTTTTGCCTGCCTTGCCCTGTGTTGGATTTTCTGTTTTGTCTATGCCTCCCTACTTTTGTTTAGTTTGTTAGCAACTGGATCCTCTTCTCTGTCTCTTTGTGAAAGACCCCAGCATTACAGAGTTGTTGATCTCAAGGTAAGCCCATGAATTAATGTCTTCTAATGTTGAGTGTTCATACTGATCCATGTTCAGTGCTCACTTCAGGGTGCCGAGTTAATCACCTGATGTAAAATCCTGCCATATTTTACTACAAAAATAATCAAAACATGGGCAGATGTTGGTTTGGATATTGGCCAAAAATGATGTAAAAAAAAAAAAAACCCTGAAAGCCAGAAAACATAGAATAAATAATAGAATTGCTCTGAAAGAGTGACTTATAAGGATGAATATATTTAAAGATCAGAATATCATAGAGACTTTGGGTTGGTGCACAGTGTTGGGGGTACACGCACTACAATCAACGCGAGTTATGTAATCAGATTACTTTTTTCAAGTAACTATAGTAAAATAACTCTTTACTTTAAAATTTACAAGAAAATATGTGAGTTACTCTTTCAAACAATTCCATGTGTTGAGAGAAATCGGGAGTGAGGTGCAGAGGCAGAGGCTCTTCCTTCAGCCAGAGGCTTATTAATTTCACTTTTGGTGTGAAAGGGCATTTACAGTTGGCAAAAATATAACTTTTGGATTTTCTGTTATTAAAAATATATGTGACCCTAGACCTTGACACAAAAACAGTCATAAGGGTAATTTTTTTAAAATTGAGATTTATACATCATCGGAAAGCTGAATAAATAAACTTTCCATTGATGTATGGTTTTGTGGGCCAGGGTCACAAATAAGCACGCCCAGCTCAAAAAGTAACACGAAAGTAACGTAATGCATTACTTTCTGTAAAAAGTAACTAACTAACACAATTAGTTGCTTTTTAACATAATATTGTAATGTATTACTTTTTAAAAGTAACTTTCCCCAAAACTGGTGGTGACACAAAATGCTAAAACATCTGTTCAGTTCACACTAGAATGGTACCACAATAATTTGTCTTTTGTCCGGTCCAGCTGGTATCACCTCAGCAGACTGAAAAGATTCCTGGAGTTGCTCATGGGAAAACAGATTAGGAGACAGAGTTTTTGGCAATTCAGTCCACTACAATATGCTTTAGAACCACAGTGGAAATAAGGTGTAAGACTTAATAGTACAACTAATTTGCCGTTTAATGCCAGAAGAACTACAATGTCTTCCTGGAATTGAAGTGCACACCCACTGAAACATATGTCCCAACAGTTGATTTGTAGACATAACTTGGATTCAGTAAGTTAGGTATGAACAATGACTTTTCCAGTGTAAGTCATAACCTTGGAGTCCAGCAGTTGAAACGGTTACAGCAGTGTGTTCGAATGACAACAAATGTCTTCAAAGATTACCCTCTGGGTACATTATAAAGGGAAGAAATATGAAAAGTTATCAAAATGGGAATGCTCACTGTTGTCAAGAGACAGTTTAGTTAAAAAATATTACTAGTTGACCTCACTTCCAAAACATAATGCAATTTATGATCAACAGTACGCTGAAGAGTCCAAAACTGCATGTAGAAGCTTTGAATAATAATGAAAGACTAATTTTGAATGAAAAATGTGTTACATCTGGAGTTGTGCGCGCTGGACAGTCAATGTTTACACAGCAGAATGTCCTTATGAATTGGTAATTTTGGCATATATGGTATCACACCTGCGTAGAGCAATTTCTCCATAACAATATCCATGTTATGACTCTCAGCTGAGTTTCATTTTTACACTTTGGATTGTTAATGATGGGATACTTGCAAATGCACTAATATCACCATTAAATTGATATAATTGTTCCTTGATCTTTTGAAAAAAAAAAAAGGTTGTAATATGACAGCATACAACTAAGAGAGTAAGAGAGCAACCATACATTAGTGTTGTTTTACTTTCTTTCTATTATATTAATTTATTCTCCATTTATTAATTTATAATAATTTATCATTTTATATGTAATCATTTTATTATTCCATTTAATCATATAATCATTTATAATAATCATTTTAAAACATTTATATTCTCATTTCATTGATTTATTTATTGATTACTCATTTATATTATTATGGTGAGAAATCTGGATTATTGTTTTTATACAATTTTTTCATTGTTGTTTAGTCTTATGATTGTGTGGTTTCAAGGCAGTGTTGGGCAAGTTACTCTGAAAATGTAATCAAATTACTGATTACTGATTACTCCTTTTAAAAGTAATCACGTTACTGTTCGGATTACTTTATTTCAAAAGTAACGAGTAATTAGTTACATTACTAGTTACATTACTTTTTCAAGGGATGTTTGTGTTCATGAGTAGAGATAAGAGAATATCTCCTTTCAAAGTTTTTAATGTCATGGGATGTTGTCGTGAAGTAATTTTTCAATGCTATTGCTTGTGGTATAATAACACTTGTTGGATTTGTGCTGGTCAGACGAAGTCTGAACACTTAACATACACAAGTTTATACAATAAACTCTGCTCCTTTTTTATCATCATCACTTTGTCTCTTGCTTCTGCTCTTCACTGGCTTTTCTCAGTCAACTTCTTGGCTGATAGAAGACTGTTAATACAGTTTTGCACTTGTTCTGTTACCAGACAAAACAGATATTTTCTGACAGGATCAGATCAGGCGTCCGGGGCTGGATCTGATATTTCTGGTGTGGAAGCATAAATAGTATGAAATTAGTTCAGTTACTGCTCTACGAAAAGACAATAGTATCATTATTTAGCTTGAGTCAGTTCAGTGTTGATTCGATTCAGTTTAATAACGGTGCCAACGTTTTAAAATTCATCCAATTTGAAATGAAAACGGTTAAGCAATAAAGCAGCTCTATAGGTTTCAAGGCAGTGTTGGGCAAGTTACTCTGAAAATGTAATCAAATTAGTGATTACTCATTACTCCTTTTAAAAGTAATCACGTTACTGTTCGGATTACTTTATTTCAAAAGTAACGAGTAATTAGTTACATTACTAGTTACATTACTTTTTTCTCCATAAAATTTATGAAATCCCGGCATACACGCGCCCGATAAATATTTGTTACTAAAGCATCAACATTCACAGAACACTGTTATTTTTAACTAAAGCAAGCGGCTGCTGCGTGCATGGTTTGGCAGAATGCCAGCAAAGAGCGCTGCATTTATAATCTCTAAAAGACATCTCAGTTCATCGCAATCTCACAAATCTCTGTTATAACACAATAAATATATGCTTAATGAATCTTTCATAATGTCTACAATTGGTGTGTTATAATGAGAGGATTCGTGAGCACGCAAATTTCAGCACTGCATTGCTCAACGCTGCAAACACGTGTTATAGCCTAAATCGAAACTCTGCATACGCTCGCACCTGTTAATCGTTTATATTTTATATTCGTTCATGTTGCTTTTGTGCAATATATGAATAACAATTTATTTGTTTTAGATATTTTATGTTTAGATATTTCTATTTTGCGGGAGTCCCATGAATCATTTTATTCTCCCGCATCCCGCACACACACGAGTGTCTACCCGCCCGCACCAGCACTCGCTCATCTTGTCCCGTGCCGCACTTTGTTGCGTCGGGTCTCGCGGGAGCAGGTCTCTAATCCACTGGCACTTGACTCGACAGTACTTGTGCTACATCCTTTTTACAATCTCTAGATTATAAAACACTGCATTCTGTCAGCAATGTAACGCGGCAGTAAAGTATAGAGACTTCGGCTTGTAACTATACTCTAAATACTATTTTGAAAATTATAACGCGTTAAATTACTCCGTTACTAAAAAAGTAATCAAATTACAGTAACGCGTTACTAAGTAATGCATTACTGCCCAACACTGGTCCTGAGCCACTGCACAAGGGAACAAAATATAAACAACACAAGACATCAGTGCAAATAGTTTTAATAAAGATCAAATAGTTTTCAGTTTTAAGTGTTGCCAATTAAAATATCTAAGGATTCTTAATAGCAACCTGTGTGTGTTTTGCTTCAAGAGAGCAACCATACACTTGTGGTGTTTTACTTTCTTTCTTTTATATTTATTTATTCTTCCTTCATTCATCATTTAATCATTTTATTATTCTATTAAATTATATAATCATTTATACTAAATCATTTTAAACTATTTATATACTCATTGACTTATTGATTAGTCATTTATATTATTTATTATATTTATATAATTCATTTATATTATATTATTATTATTGTTTTAATATTATTTTCCCATTGTTGTATAGTTTTATGATTGTGTGGTTTCAAGGGATGTTTGTCGTCATGAATAAGCAATAAGAGGGAATGTTTATGGAAATTCAAGGTTTATGGGATGATATTGTGAACCAGTAATTTTCCATTGCTATTGCTTGTGGTATAATAACACTTGTTGGATTTGTGCTGGTCAGACGAAGTCTGAACACTTAACATACACAAGTTTATACAATAAACTCTGCTCCTTTTTTATCATCATCACTTTGTCTCTTGCTTCTGCTCTTCACTGGCTTTTCTCAGTCAACTTCTTGGCTGATAGAAGACTGTTAATACAGTTTTGCACTTGTTCTGTTACCAGACAAAACAGATATTTTCTGACAGGATCAGATCAGGCGTCCGGGGCTGGATCTGATATTTCTGGTGTGGAAGCATAAATAGTATGAAATTAGTTCAGTTACTGCTCTACGAAAAGACAATAGTATCATTATTTAGCTTGAGTCAGTTCAGTGTTGATTCGATTCAGTTTAATAACGGTGCCAACGTTTTAAAATTCATCCAATTTGAAATGAAAACGGTTAAGCAATAAAGCAGCTCTATAGGAAACAGTAGTGTCAGCATCCAGCTCAATTCAGTCAAGTTTCTTCTAAGCTGTCTTGTATGCTGAGGAGTTGAGACAATTGAAGAAGGTTATTAACAAAGAAATCTCTAGTGGTGGAAGTGATAGTTTTACAATATTTGTAACAAGGAGTTGATTTTGCAGCCTTGGTTAAACGGAGTAAGAGACTAAATAATGATCTGAGATGTCATTGCTCTGCTGCAGAATGTCAATGTCAGCAACATCGATTTCAAAATTAAGTCTAAAGTATGATTACAACAATGAGTGGGTCCTGACACGTGTTGTATAACCCCAGTAGAGAATAGAATGTCTGTAATCCCAATGCATCTTTTTCATTATCTACACGGATGTTAAAATCACCAACAATGAACCAGGGGCCGGTTACATAAACTGCTCACACTAGTCTTGAATGGTCATAACTTATTAGTCAATTACAAAAAGGTAGATTGGTCTAATTTGAATCTGAAAGTAAGACTGATTACCCCTTGGCTAACTGCTAGTTATAGCATAGTGGTTATGTTTATGCATATGGCTCCAGTACTAACTCTGAGAGAAAATCAGACTGCCCCGGTGACCTGTATACAGTAGCCAGTACAAATGTCAAAAAAAGATTAATCATTTATACTAGATAACATTATATAACCAGACCTCCGAGTAATACGAAAAATATTATCCTAAACCCCTATGGTAAGCCTATTATAAATGTTTATATTTTAGACCTGTCTTGATGGTTTTCGTGGGAAATTGAATACGTCAGAAAATCAGACTGCCCCGGTGACCTGTATACAGTAGCCAGTACAAATGTCAAAAAAGATTAATCATTTATACTAGATAACATTATATAACCAGACCTCCGAGTAATACGAAAAATATTATCCT